GCCTGACAAAGGCCTCCCCAGGAAATGTACCTGGATGGGCCAGGGAGGGTTGGGAAGGGACCCATCACTGAGAGGCCCTGACCTCTCCCCTCGCTCGGGCCTCACATGTGCCAGCCAAAGGCCATGTGGGCTGGAGTGTGTCCATGTGCCTGTGTGGTTTCCAGGTCCAGGTCCTGTGGAGGGGTGAGGGCCATGGTGACAGACCCTGGAGGCCGTTTCAGTCCATGCCACACCTGCCCCCTTCCAAGGGGGCGGCCCCTTGGCGATCCGGAATCCTGTCTTTCCGGGGACAGCTTCCTAAGCCATCCTGGTGTCTGACTTCTCCAACTCCTAAGCTAGCCATCTCGCTGTCATTTCCTGGTGCGGAGATAAATCCTGGTGGCCCGTCTGTGCCCCACCCCCAGCCACTGTGTCCTCTGTGAGGACGTTTATTTTCCACCCCCCCAGGAGCGCGTGTGAAGCGGTGTGTGTCGAGTGCCTTGGGCAGCGTCGGCGCCGGCACCTGGGCGAGGGCGATGATGGCGTGAAAGGTGTCCACGCGAACAGGGAACGTGAGGCCCACCTGAACTGAACCTTCTAACCTGTAGACGGTGACCGGGGAGGGGGGCGTGGTTTCTAGTGGGAGGGTGTTTTTAGGGGTCAGAGGTGATAGCTCCCATCTGCTGGTCTGCAGCTGGGAGGGTGGGGATGGGGAAGGTGAGATGGGCCAGTGTTTGCTATGCCTGGTCCAGGCCTCCGCCACCCCTTCCCTCCTCGAGGCCCCCTCCTGGGCTGCTGACCTCTGGGGCTCTTTCAGGGGGGTGGGGCACTCCCCAGTCCCAGCCTTTTCCAGTCTAGCTCAGGGGGTTTTCCAAATGCTCAAAGCCTGACTCCCTGAAAGAAACCCCCACAACCTGGCCGCAGAGCCTGGCTTGGTGGCGGTGGTGGGGGGTTGTCCTGAGTCTAGGGAGCATGGGGTGGTGGGTCAGGCCTGCAGGGCAGCACCCCACAGGCACCCATCCAGGGTGAAACCAAGAGACCGCAGGGCCCCTGCTGCTGTGGTGACCCAATTCGGATGTGAGCAGGAACCCGCTCCTGGGTGGCAGAGGACAGCGCAGCTCAAGCCCGAGGGAATGTCCTTGCCTCAGACAGCTGGGCAGGCACACCCTGCTCCTCCACCTTCCGCCTTTCTGCCCCCGCCGGCCTCACTCCCCTGGTTCATGCATTGCCTCGCTTATTTGGGTGTGAATCCGAGTTTAAATACAACTTGCTCCCATGAGCTCTGAAAAATTAACTGGGCCCCCCTTGCTGGAGGATGGCTCCTGGGGAGGCTCTTTCTTTTGCAGTTTTCTTTCCCTGCCTGGCTGGAGCCCTGGCTCTTGGTGATGGAAGCAGGAGCCGTCTCCTCTCTTCCTGACCAAGGACATTAGAGCTGGGATACTCTGTCTCTGCCTTGACCCCCATCAGCATCAGTGGCTCCTGCTTCTGATGGAGACATGCCCAACTCCTTGGCCTGAGTTTAGGACCCCACTTTCTCTTGCCTCACTGTCTCCCGCCAAGTCTATACCTAGGTCCAATCCCCACCTCCTCCAGGAAGCCCTCCTTGCCTGCTCCAGACTAAAATGAGCTCTCTTGTCTCTGACCTCCTCTAGCCCATGTCTCATGGGTAGGTCCGGGAGCTCCTTGGCCAGCTCGTCTTGCCTCCCTCACCTGGGACTCCTCTCCCCTCAGTTCCCTTTAAAATAGACCTAGAGCCATGACAAATGCCTGTGGTATCTTCCCACTGCCCCCTGAGTCCAAGAGACTATCCCAGCAGTCAGAGAAATGAAAAACAGCCCGGCGCTGGTGACTGACAGGCAGGGGTTTGAAGTGCGGCTCTGCCATCTTCGAGCTGGGTGACTTAGAACAGGTTACGTAGCTTCTCTGTATCTTGGTTTGCACCTTTAAGTGGGGCTAGTAACTTCCCCTTCCCAAGGTTGTTGTGTGGATGAAACGAATTTGTTTAAAACCCCAGCGCCCACTGGGTGCTCTGTAAACAGAAGCTTTCCTGGAGAGTGAACCCCCCTCTCCCTGGGCGAGGGGTGGAGGCTCAGAGCGGGTGCCAGGCAAAGACAGGGCTAGAACCCTGGACCGGAACAAGAACTGCTGTCCTGTACTGTTTCTGGGGTGCACTGGCCAAGCACCAGCCAGCCCCTCTCCCTGACGTCCAGCGCACCCTGGAGTCCTGTGTCTGCACGCCAAGCTCTCTGGAGAGATGTCAGAGCCAAAGGCACCCCGGAGAAAAAAGAACTGGCTCTCCCAAATCCAACCACTCCTGGTGGGATGGAGGGAGAAGCTGGGACCCTGATGTACCAGCCGTGGCTGTGGCTCCCCCTGTGGTGGGGAGGCCAGGAGTCACCTTCCTCCTGCCCCAGCCCAGGGTCCCAATGTGTACCCCAACTCCTAAGCAGGAAACATCTCTTCGTGCCAGTCATGAGCATTCAGGCGTACCTGGTGTGTCCCTGTCCTCCGGGCCTTTGAGACACTGTGCAATGTCTGTACCAGTTTCTGGAGCCGGGATGAGGAGAGCCAGGGTGAGGCAGGACCACCCTCTTCCTCTGGGCCATTTCCTTCCCCTCCTCTTCTCCTCCCAGCTCCCTTCCATCTTCCCACAGCCCACCTCCCCCCAGGCCTCTCTCCTCCCTCCGCCTGCCCCTTCCCGTCACCTTCCCACAGCCCCTCCTCCCACCCTGCCCCTGCCTCGGAACTCTTCTCTGGGTCCCATTTCTGTTCTTTTTATCCTCACCCGAGGACATTTTTCCTTTTTATGTTCAGATAGAGTGGGAGGGAGAGAGAGAGAGAGAGAGAAACATCGACGTGAAAAAGACACATCGAGTGGCTGCCTCCTGCACGACCCAACCAGGGCCGGGAACAAACTGCAACCAAGGTACGTGCCCTTAGCGGGAACCGAACCCGGGTCTCTCTGGACCACAGGCCGACGCTCTAACCGCTGAGCCAAACCAGCCAGGGCATGTTCTTCTTTAGTGCTCACCTCTCTTCCCTCCCCTCCACTCAGAAGAAGGATTTAATGGATATTAGATTATTTTAAACTGACTTTCGTTTTTTAAAAACTAGCTTGGTGATAGTGCTGACTCAGGATCAACTCTCTGTTTAATATTGAATATGCAATTAATAGATAGCTGTTTAGGTTTGGCTCTGCCTTCCCTTTCTACCGCAGGGAGAATAAAAGAGCTGATTAATCTGGTTTGGGGCAAGTGGCAGGAGCAGGAGATATATGGGGGGAAGGAGATGAGGTCAGCAGCGCCGAGTCAGAGAGCTATTGCCTGGGAGGCGAGGGAACGGAGCGGCTTTGAGTTAAAGCTCAGCTCGGCCTTGCTGGGCAGAGGGGCGCCCGCCACCCCACTCCGGTTCTGGGGAAAACTGGCTGGACTTTGAGCTGTCTGCTCTGCACACAGGGGCCCCCTTCTCCCCCTTTGGGGCCTCCCCGCTGGGGCCAACTTCTCCAGGGGTGGAATCTTCCCTCCTCCAGGCCACTTCGTCCAAGGCCTCTGGCTTCCCCTGCCCGGGGAGCCCTGTCTGGGACAGCAGGCGGCACTTCCTCTCCCTGCCAGGGTTGGCGGCACTGGGCTGCACCTTGGTCACATGCGGCAGGTGGCGCAGGTGTCACTGCATGACGGGCGACAGGGGCTGAGGCCGCACAGGCCTGCCTCCGAGAGACGGCTCCGCCACGTGCCGCCAAGGCCTGGCAGGACAGGCCCCGCTCACCGACAGGGCAAGGGTGCCTGCACTGGGTGTTTGAAAGCTTCTGTGTACGACGAAAACCGAGACAACTCGGCTGCCCAGAAAGGGGCAGGAGCAGCAGCGTGAACCCAGCGGGCTCTGCTGGCCGATGCCCTTCGTGCCTGAACCATCTTTACCCCCAAACGGACCCACCTCCACTAGGGGGTCCTCAGGATGGGAAGCTCTCAGTGGGCCATGGGGAGGGGTGTCTGTGCCCTGGAACATGGGGCAGCTTTGGGGGCAGCAAGAAGACACCAGCTGGGGCCTGGAGGGTGGAATTCGAGGGCCCAGGTCAGGAGGTGGCCAGAGCCACAGCGGCCGTGTGCCCAGCCGGCCTGCTGGGGTGCGGAGGAAAGCGGTCTGAGTTGGAGGGACCACAGGTGCCAGGAGTGGGCACTCTCGTGCCTGCACTCCCCTCAGGACAAGGACCTTCACTCTGAATTTACAAGTAGCTTTTGCCTGTTTTACTTTTTTGCCCTTAATTTCCTAGAAGATTTTGGGGGTTGGGAGGGCAGGGAAGGGAGGAGTTCTTTCTCTGCCTGAGCTAAGAGGAGAGTGACCTGTCCAGGCCCAGGGGCGGGGGGGGGGGGATAGCCCAGGGGCGGAGGGGCCTGCCCCGGGGCGTGGTGTGGACATGGGCACCCGGGTGCTTGGCAGAGGAGGCCGGGAGCCTGGCCTGGCTGAGCCTCTGTGTGTCCTGGGGGTGGCCCTCCGGTGTAAGGGCTGGCTCCTCTCTGAGAATGGGGGTGGTGTTTAGTGTGAGGGTGTGCCCTCCTGCTCTGCCCCCTTTCAGACTCCTCCCTCAGTCTGGCCCCAGGATCTCAACAGCCCAGCAGCCCCTTGGCAGCCCTTCCCAGATGTGCCCGCTCTGGCCGGACCCCTCCCACTGCCTGCCTCCCGACCCAGCCCTTCCACTGGTCCAGTCCCATCGCAGGGGGTTTCCTGGGGACACGGAAGCACCTTTCCCGCGTCTTCCGGACAACAGAAGAGCTACCCAGGACAGGCTAGTTGTCTACTCACTCACAGCAAGGACTGAACCCCACCCTCCAGCAGACCCATTGTCCCCCTTCCCTTCGCTGTCTCCCACGCCAGTCACCCAGCTCCAAAACCCTGTTCTGAGACGGGAGAGGGAGGAGGAGGCAGGAGTCACTGCATTGCTGCACTGGGAGGGGGCAGGGAGGGAGGAAGGGGCAGAGACAAGTGGCCCTCACGTGAAGGGGGCTGGCGCAGGCAGCTACTACCTCCTCGGCTCTCGCTGTCCGCGGGCTTCACCTGGATCGGCCGGTTCATCTGCAACAGAGCACAGGGGACAGTGTTAGCGCGGGCGTGGGCGTGGGCGGCAGACCGGGGTGCCAGTACCTAGGCACCTAGGGCAGACACCCGCGTGCTGCAGACCTGTCCGTCTTCTCTGAAGCCCCACCCATTTCCCTTGGCCCCTGCAGTGCCCAGGGCCCGATGTTTGCGGGAGGGTTTCTCTGGATTGGAGACAGTGGGGTGTCCCTGCCCCAATCTTGAGCAGCTCTTGCTAGGCTGTGGCATCAGAATCTGAGGTGTCCTCACAGTGCACCTCTGGCTGCTCCTGGTTCACGGCTGGCTTTGCCAAAACGAGCTGGTCTCTGGCCGAAGATGGCCCCAGTCTCACCTCACCCCATGCCATCTCAAAGATGTGAGCTGTGGGTCCTGGGGTGCCCGAGCTTCTGGACCACCAGCTCCTGAAGAGCTCAGGGCTGGGGCTCCTGCCTGCGGCCAGGGCTGCCCCTTGGAAATGTATGTGTAGTTGGCGGTTATGCCACTCACGTGGTGTCTGGGTGCCAGGAGGACACCAGGGCACCGCCTGACGCCCCGAGGCTCCAACCACCAGCCTCTCTCTCGAGATCCATCTCCATGCCCCGTTCAGGCCACTAGGGGTCTCTGAACTCCAAGCATCCTAGCTTCCTAGCCTGTCCTTACTCCTGCCTGGTGCAGGAGCACCGGGGTGGGCTCTCCAGCCCTGAAGTCCCAAGATCTTTCAAGCAATAAAAACAGTAAGAATCACGCGACTGGACTGCACTTTGTCTTCAGCAGTGCTTCTGCCTGCCACGCACACTTCTCCCTCATCACATTTGCACGTCTCTCTCAACAAACCCCCGAAAGGCAGGCAGGGCGGGCACTACACCCCCTGTTACAGACGGGGAGGCGGACGCAGGGCCACCAGTGGTAGAGGAGCCTGGGAACCGAGTTGTCAGGGCTATTTGGGGGCTTCCACCCTGCCCCGGGGGACTTTTTGTTGCCAATTTCCCGTGTCCGGAGGCTGGGCTAGCCAGTCACAAGCTTCCTCGGGCCTTCTGGTCTCTGATTTGAAGTGACTTTTGTCTGCGTCAAGACAACTGGGTGGGGGAGTGCGGGTGCTGGTGAGTCAGCAAGGTGACAACTAAGAAGGGCAGATTCACCGCCAGGAAGGACGGAGGCAAAGGCAGCGCAAGGAACAGAGAACAGGGGCCAGGTGGCCGGGGGACAAGACAGGACAGTGGGGGCCAATCCTCTGAGAGGGAGGGTCAGGGTGCCACTGTTTGCCCGTGGGCCCCCTTGGCAGCGTGTGGAGTGAGGGGAAGAAGGGTGCTCTGTGTGGAAGCCCCCAGCAGAGGAAACTCGTGTTATGGAGAGCTCCCATCACATAGGTGGGGGAGGGCTTCACTTTGGGTCCCCTGGCTCCCCGGTAAACCACCCCCTTTCCAGATTCTGAGTAGAGGGTCCAGAGGCTGAGAGGCATCTGGCTTGGGAGAAGGGCTCCTGGAGCCAGCCAGGGCGCTCCTGGTCTCCTGTCCATACTCGGTGGGGCTCAGCACCCAACTCTTTCCTAGACTGCCCCTCTCTCCTCGATCACCCCTCTCTCCTCGTCTCCCCCGAACTTGCAATGTTCTCCCACAGAAAAGCGCACAGTGGACCAGGGCTCAGTTCTGGCCACTGTTCTCTCTTGGGCATATTTCTCCAGCTTATTATTCTTCCCCGAGGAAGGGAGTGTTATCTCTCTCCTGCCAACGACAAGCCAGAGCGCCGGAAAGTGGCAGATCTGGGATTCGGCCTGGACGGGGAGACGCAGTGCTGACAATACGGCGGTGGGTCGCCTGCCTACGTTTGATCTCATCTGATGGCAGCTACTCTGGGAGGAAGTCCGTGAGGACAGTGTCCATCTGGTGAGGGAGTTTGGGGCCAGGGTCCTTGGGCCATCACATCTAATTCAACCTCTTCAGCCAGGCCCCTCACATCTGACCCCCACCACCCCATTCCCTATACCCCAGGGTCTTCCTCCCCCAAGTCCATTCCCTAGATTTGCAAACACCGCTCCCAGACCCCCTCCAGCCTCCTCTTCTGGACCATGAAGCCTTCCTGGTATCCCAGAGAAAGGTTCCTACAAAAACGCTCTGTTTTCCATGTGGAGGGCACAGACGAGGCTGGGAACCGAGTTGCGGGAGGAGGGAGGAGGGTCCTGCATAGGCCGCATGGTGACGGCCACAGGAACAGGCAGAGCCATACGCTGATTATATTGTGGGATTGTCATCACTTCCCCTGTGACGCCTGCAACCAGATTGTCCTCAGCTTCAAGCAGGGAAATGCAGTTTCAGAGAGGTTAAGAAACTAGCCCGAGGTCATACAGGTGGTAATTGGTGATAGGATGGACCAGGCCCCTTGATACCTGACTACCTGTCCAGGAGATGCTGGAAACCAGGCGTGATGGGCTGGGGATGGTCCAGGAAAGGCCAAAGCAGAAGAGGGGAGAGAGAGGACCAGATGGGGGCTTCAGGCTTCCCCAGCAAGAAAGGAGAGGAACGCGTATCTGAGGAGGGGCAGTGGAGGTGTATGAACCTGTGACCCACAGCCAGTCTCTCCTCTGCGGGCCCGAGAGCAGCTGGGGTGAGTCCCGTGGATCAACTAGAGCTGGGGAAGGGCTGTTTCTGATACGGTGGGGCCCATTTCCCATGGTGCACTGAACAAGGCAAATGGAATGTGCCTGTGCACGGAAGCGTCCACCCTGTGGGGCAGCCAGCCGCTGTCTCACTGTCCTTGGCACCTGGGCATTCATGAGGGCTCTGCACCAGGCTTCCCAGCTTAGGCCTAACGTGTTTCCAGCCTCCACCCTGGGAGGCCCCACACCTGGCCGGCCCAGGTCAATGCTCCCAGGCCTCCTGCACGACGCGGGCCTGCACCCCCGCTGCTTCTCTGATTCGACCAGGGGCTTCCTGGGTCTCATCCAGCCTCTACCTGCCCTCAGCCACGGGCTGGCACCCATGGGGTGATCCAAACAGACTGTTGGAGCAGAATTGAATTGTTTCCCATGGACCCGTGACTCCTGCCTCATTTTTCACGTCCCATCATGATCTAGAGATGGTCAGCGTCCAGACAGCCTTTTCGGGGTGGAGAGGCTCCAGCAGGTGGAGCAGTAACATACAGCCCCGAGCTTTCTTAACTCAGCAGAAATAAAGTGTCAGGCTCAGCTGGGAGGTTTCTCAGCCAGAGCAGGCTCTGTGCAGATGCTCTGGGCTTGAAGAGAGATCTTCCTCCCTCCGTCAGTGGCTCTCTTCCCTGTTTCAGACTCTGGCCCCATCCAGCCTCGCCAAGACCTGGCTTCACCTTGCGGAGAGGGGTGTGCACAGAGGGAGCCTGCCTGCGGGAGGAGGCCGAGCTTGGCCGCAGAGGTGGCTGGTGAGGAAGGGACATCAACAGAGAGGGGAGGGACTCATGGGGAGGAATGTGGGAGGGGCACCTGCCCTCTCCTTGTCCTTCTTCGGACTCTGCACCCTAAGACCATGGCCTGGGCCTCAGGACCTCTAGGCCACACCGGCCCCAGGGTGTCCCTGTCAGGTGAACACGGCACATTGAGGACACTAAATGCCATTCCGTGGTGCTTTTCCCTTTCCCCATCTCTCGCTCCCCTGTCCCGTGTCCCCCTCAGACACTGTATTATCCTTCCAGGAGGACCTGGGGCTGGGGGCCGGAGGGGACCTGGGCTGTGGTACAGGCGCTGTCCTTGCTGATTCTCTTTCGGAGGTGTCATCAGTATTCCCATGTTCCCCAGGGGCTTTCAGCCTGGGTCATGCCTCCAGGTGCCTGAGCAGGGTTTGGTGACTCAGGATGACCTTCTCTGGGTCCGGAACAGCTCCCCGAAGCTTCCCTGCAGGCTTCTGGAGTCAGGTCTCTGGGGGCACATCACTAACTCTTGTCCACTGTGTTTCTGCTTCCAGCCCAAGGCCTCCTCAGGGGAAGCAAGTGGTCCTGGCCCAGGATTTTGGACCCTCCCTGCTCCCAACCAAAGCAGAGGGCCAGGGGGTGGGTGGGCGGCTCCTTCCCTCCCACGACCCCTCTCTGCTTCCCCTGCCCCTCCCCCCCTCGACCACTTTTTGCATCAACACATAGCCATGCATTAAACAAGACATTCCATTAATTTCTTCATCATCATAACTTAAGCTGGGACATACCCTTTAAATATTCATTCAGCTATGAAAACTAGGCATTAAAATTTTAATAATGTCAAGCTCATTTGAACCAGGCTCCTTGGGGACGATTATGATACAGTTAGAATAAATACGATGATTGTGGTCCAGTGGCTTCACCTGTCTGTGCAGTGTGGCTCCCCTCAGAAGGAGAGGCCTGTGGCCAGTGGGCAGACAGACAGACTGACAGGCCGGCTGGCTCTTAGATTTGATTCCCTTTCTCCTTTCCTCATCTCCTCCCTCCTGTCTGTTACCGCAGGTGTCTGCAGGTCTCTGCTGCCCCTGCGAGCCAGGGTGCGGAGCATCCCTGCCCCAGCTGGGAAGGTGGCCCTGATGAACTCGCAGTCCCAGTCACCTCTGTCCTTTGTCCCCTGGTATAGCCTGGGATGTGCTCCTGGGCTTGGCCCTCTGTGAGAACCATTTCCCTATCTGTGTCTCTCCCCCATTCTGTCTGTGTGGCTCCCCGAGGCTGGAGTGAGTACCCCACCAGAACAGGGCTAGGCTGCAGAGGGGGTCACTGGTCCCTGAGAGCCCGGATGTGCTCTGTCACCAGATCAGGAGGGACTGTCTTCACCTGGCTTGTCTTCTGCTGCTACCACCTTCCTGAGGGTTGGCGTGGGGGCGGGGCTGACCTCTGCTCTGTCCCTCTGCTGACACCTGCCGAAGCCAGTGCTGGAGAGAGGTCTGAGGGCATCCACTCCTGAACTTGCCCCTGCTTCACTCGGGACAGCCCTCACCGCCCACAGGACCCCTTGGGGCCCTCCTCCACCTGTCTTCGCAGGCACCTGAGCCCTCTGCTTCACACCACACCCCAGTGTGGCT